CATAAAGTCCTCCATAGGTTTATTAGTTCATAGGCAGAGTTGAAAAATGATGGCTTGCAATAGTGAAAGTTTTGAGTTTGAAGGAGCTAGAGAGCCTGCATGAAGTAAAATATTGGCATGCAGATCACCTGCCTTTCATTACAAGGGTTGGATATGAGCCTGATGAGAAAGCAAGGGGACTAGTTCCAATATACTATGAACTGATGGCTGCAAGGAATGGCAATCCAAAAAAAATGGAGGGGACTGAATCCAAATGACATGAATTACATCTGTTGAAAGGGTGCAGAGGAATGGAAATAAACTACTGCAGCTGCATGTACTTCTGATGTAGACTAAGAGATGGGAAGAGGAAGAGGAAAAGGAAACAGAAAGTACAGCTGTTGCAGTGGCAGCTACTGAGTCAATAAAGAAGGGAGCCACAAAGCTGTTCTGTGAGCAGAAAACATCCCAGAGCAAAGGGACAAGAGTTAGCATAGGAGCTCCTCAGGTAGAGGACAGCAATACAATACCGAATCACATTTCTGCCTCCTGGGTGGAGGCACTTACAGTTCTTCTCTTACAGTTTGCTGGCTTATAAAACACGGTATTTCCCAGTTTAAGTTCTTCGGAGGGATGAATGTATATGCTACAGAGGTTTTTAAAAGACAAGTTGAAGTTAAATATCAGGAAAGGATGTAAGGATTCACCACAGTGAAGGAATGGAATTAATAACATTCCAGAATTGAAAATGTACCACCCTCATAGGCATTTCACACAATCACATCTGTAGGCAATCTCTTGAGGGCTGTGAAGGTTTTTTTGTGATCCCAATTTAAATGATCTCCTACGGTTGATTTTATGCACTACTTTAGGACCATAATTAATCATTTTCTTGGACCAAATACTGGATGTTTAGCTAAATATATGCCCTAGAACTTGGAAACAATATCCCTAAAAACTTTGGGCACTGAGATAAATATTTCATCAACTACATCAAAGATTAGAGACCTTTTCAGATTCTTTGCCAGTCTCCCTAATAAATCAAAATGGACACATGACATATACATATGTATCTCTGTATCAAAAAAAAAAGGGTTTAAAAAATTTGCAAGCACATACTACAACAGTTGAAACTTCAAGGGATTGTATGGTCATTAAACAAATTCTATGCTTCAGCTTTTTATGGTGGAGTAGATGTTTTCCGCCTGAGAAAGCATCATGAGGCATTGTAATATTAAAGAAAGTAATAGTAAAAAATCTGGGAAGCTATCGGGAAACAGGTAGCCAGGAAAACTTACAAACTTCACAGAAGAGTGACTGAGTGTTCTTATGAGATTATCTGAGAATCCACAATCACAATAGCAAACCTTTCACCTTTTGTGTGTAGTAAATGTGCTACACCTGCTAGACAAAATACATTCTGACCAGGAGAAGAGATAGTTTGGGGAAATGCATTTTTCTTTGTCATTTATGTTTTAATAAAAACTTTTTTTTTTTTTTTTTTTTTTGCTTTACAAAGACCATGTGTTGAAATGCAGACGATACGTCATGATAAGCCCCTGAAAGCTATTGTTTATTATCTCTCTGTACTAAAACAAAGTTTTCAATGCTCCTCAAGCAGTTTCTATCTTTTTCCTTGTTTGGTTTTGTTTTCTGAGTGCCTTATCCAAGACTTGCCTTTTAACTTTCCTCAGGGAAATAAATCTCACAGAGCAGTTTTCACAAAATTCTTGCAACCGTGAACTCAGAATGTTTAACCAAGTGTGTTGCAATTGCCTGAAGTAACTGGGAAAATAAAACTAGGCTAGGCTCTGTACTAGGTGGGGACTTGATTGTTCTTGTGCACACCGAGACAGATAAGCTGCACTTTTTGCTACTCTGAGCCAAGGACCTGTCATGTTTTGACAAATGCTGTACCCTAGTGTACTTTTGCTCATTATAATATCATTATAATACCAAAACACACCTCCATCCCAAAAGCTACCCGTCTCCAAGGTGCGACCACCACTCACTGAGCATGTGATATGAATTTCTCGAAGCCTATTACTTTAAACAGAGACAGGAGAACTTTTTACCAACCATAAGTAAGATATGCTTGACTAGTCACTCAAGCTCTAACTAAAAGATAGAAAATAATATAAATTGGCCTAAGAGAGAGGGGATGTTAGGGAAGATACCACTGTGAGGGAGATACCATCCCGAGGGAATACCACATCCTGAGGACCTCCTGACTCCTGGGACCAGTCGACGGGCTGAGCCTCTCTTCCCCTACCCCCCTTCCCCCCACCTCAATTTGGACACCTTTGGGTGAGATTTGAACACTTGGTTATAAATCTCTCTAGAGTCTTTGATCCTTTTAATGTGTTAATTTCCAGGCTGTGCACTTGTGTCACCTGTGTATTTCATGCATGCTAGCTTGCTTTTGCAGACAGTCACTATTGCTGGCAATCCAAAGAACCTGTGTACCTGTTGCTGTAATAAATTGCACTTGATTGCATTGTTCCTAGTCATGATAACTCTCATTAAATGTGACTAGAGTAAGGGTGCTTATATGTTATTGGTGAATCCGTGTCTGTGGTAGTTCAGTGTTCTGAATCCAAGCAGACCCCTAACAGTTAATGTGTTATTGGTGAATCTGTGCAGACCCCTAACAGTTAATGTGTTATTGGTGAATCTGTGATTCTGATAGTTCAGTACCCTGAATCCGACTGGGCCCATAACGGTTAATTGGCTACATCCCTTAATGTGACACCAAGCATCTACTGAAAGCACAAAATGAAGCTAGTGTTCCCATAATGTTTTATTAAACCAAAGAATCATACAATCATTAAAGAAATGCCTAGCATTGTGGATGTCAGTGAACTTGAAAGAATTAACAGGACTTCAACAATTAACAGGACAACAACAATGTTGGCACATCAACATTGGGCAGAGCTGCAGGCCCAAAAGGAGACAAAGAAAGAAGGCAATGGAAGAAGAAGAAGCCCCACTGATGGAAGCAGCATTGAAGACCCCCAGCTCCTTTTCTGTTTCTCTGTATTTGCATGTACCCCAGGCTAATATTATTATGGACATGCAATAAAGTCTTTTTAAAGGAAAGAAACAATGCCCTACAATCTCAGATCTACTCCCAGTATTGGGGCTAAATGGTGTTGCACTTCGTGATATAGAGACTCTCCTCAAGAAGAGTCAGCACAAGGATTGGCATCACTGGCATAACTTATTTGCTTGTGGGTAGCAGCCTGAGTCTGCACTGGTAAACATGTAAAAGTGTGGTAGAAGTTTCAGTGAGGGCCTTTTTCCAAGATCTGGATAAAAAAATGATTTTGTGGCATCCCAGGGATGTGACTAACAAAACTATTGTTTTTCTTTCATTTCTGTGCTATTGCTTTAATTAGGAAACCACAAAAGTTAATGCAATGAACTAAACATCTGAAAGATAAAGGTACAGTTAAATCTAAATGTCCTTGATATGAGTGCTTTGATGTAAGGTTTAGTTCAGCTGTGAGATATGTGTAGAAACTGGGGTAGGATGGCTTATGTCTGTCAAGTCTCCTACCATAGCTGAAAAGAGTGATTTGAACAGTCTGTTGTTAAAGTGTCTGAGGCAGATGTTACTTTTACCACCACAGTCAAAGCAAGGGTCCTCAGTGTTTGACTTTCAAAATCCCCTCTAAGTTCCTTACAGAGACGTAAAATGGTTTGTTTACTAAATCTGTAATTTTACAAAACTTGTGAGGTCCAGAATGAAATGTCTGATTCTCTGCAGTCTCCGGTGGGACATATATTTCCTTAATCTCTTTAAGAACATACATCCTTCAGCCCAACACCAAGTGCTATATTTATAATCTAAGAAGACAGTAAAGATCCTTTTTCTTTTTGTTATCATTTTTCCTATAGTCATCTTAAATAGTTTCAAATTTTGCCATTTTATTCTTGTGAAAACATGGAATTGGTAAACTCAGCTTCCTGATACATTTCTTTTTGAATACCTAAATATATTCATACTTATTTGCTTTCTTTGTCTCAAAAGATTTCAAAGGTGTTTTCAAACTTCATATACAAAAGACTCACTTCACCAGTCACAAAAGATTGATCATCACTCAGCAGCAGAAAGCTGTAAAACTAAACACTGCAGAACAGTTTATGTCAAGAAATACAAGTAGAGGCTTCCCTGAAATCCCTGTTCAATTAGTAGATTTTTGTTTCCTCAGCAGTCCAATCAGTCAGTCACATCTTTGCGTAGCAGAAATCAAAAATGGAATAACAGCTCTGTAGCAACATCAGGAAACAATGCAGTTAAATGCATCTATTTTCTCTATTTATATTTCTTCATAGTGAGATAATAGTGATTAATTCATGTCAAAATCTGAGGGAAAGAATACAGCCAGACTCCAAGCAGTGAAAGGGGTTATGGCTCCAAAAAAGTATAGCGTGAACCTCCTAATGCAAAGCAGCATTTAAAAGTCACAGAGGGGACTGAACCCACTGAAGCTGAATAGAGGTTCAGCTCTGGAAGTAAATGGTAGCATTTCAGTGAAGCGTAATCTAATTCTAGTTATTTAAAAATACATTTTTAGGTTTGCTAACACTGGATTGATTGGATTTGCATCTCTTATGACAGGGCCGCATTTAACTCAGTGATATTTGTTTGAAACTTAATTAAAATAATTGTACAAAAAAAAAAATATGCTTTTTTATCTGATGCATTACATTCACCCACTATTCCATGTCTAATGTCAAACAGAAGTTTAAAGACATGAATGGCAGCCCAATGAGACACAGTCTGTCACCCAGAAGGTATCCATATCAGTCTTATCACAGTAATCATCAGCCTCGTGTTTAGAATCACTGCAGTTGTCTGAGATCTGAACCTAAACTCGGTAGACAGTCTGAAAGAATCAACAGCTGAGAAACATGTTACTACAGCATTAGCTAGTCATCATCAATCCACAAACACCACTGTAATGTCACCTGCTGATTGCCCAAATCTGACACTGAACTGACATAAACCAACTTACCTGTGGGTCAAACGTACGGCAGTCTGCACTGTGACACAAGGTGAGCTAGGAACAGTAGCACAGGGAGAAGTGGGGGGTACAAAGCTGGGATGAGGAGTCACCTTTTCTAGTCAGGGCAGGTCTCGTTCTCCCTGAAATGGGAAGTGGAAAACACAGTTTAAAACAAGCAAGAACAAGAAAAGAATATTAATAATAACAGAATATTTTCCAGCTGAGTAGCCTTCAAAACCTAAGACACCAAGTATAACTTTAGAGAAGGACTTGGATTTTCTGTTCCATTTCTTCAGCACAAAGGAAACAGGAAAGATCCCCCTCACGTCAGAAATTTTGTTTCTTTCAAATTATTATACACATTATTATTATCCACTGATTCTAGGGAAAAAAAAAAAAAAAAGGAAAATACATTTCTGTTAAATAAGTATAATAAAAAAATTCTGTAGTAGCTGTAGTAGCATAAGCAGAAGGATCAGTTATTTTGTGTATAAATATTGTGTGACTTGCATATAAGAGAGGATAAGAGTAAGAAAATCTATATTCTTCAGTTAGTGCACCAATCAGTAATTAGTACATTTTTTAAAGTGAATTCAACCCCTTGATTCAGTTCCGCAAAATAAATGGAAATAGATGACTACCACCAGACAGATTTTTTGTGTTTATGAAAATAACAGAAAGATGACTTCTGTGTATTATAGGGAAGCCAGATAATCAAATACACATCCAAAATGATCTAAAATCTTTCTTAATATATCCCATTATCTAGGTGTTCAGGAAACTCTGAGGTTACTCTTAAAATATTGCAGGATCTTTTTCTTTCCTGAACAACATATCTTTTTTGACTCCTTTCCAGTGTCACTCTTCATCTCACTTCAAAAGTGAGATCCTGTATGTACATTTTTCAATTTTTATTTATTTATTTATTTTTTTGAATGTGTCTGCTGTCTACTTTACTTGGAATAAAATAGTCAAAAATAGTTCAGGGCTGGAGTAACCGGTCAGACCCATGAATGTATAGTTTATTCAGAAACTATCTGAGATAAGCAAGAAGTTTGTAAAGAACATCAGTGTTTGCAAACCATCCATCTTATAATTCCACTGCACAAATGAGAGGCCAGGTCCTGGTGTGCAGTGAGCTCGCCAGGAGCAGCTGCAGTCAAGGCCTACATCTACAGGAGGACACCTTAGACCTTCTGTCACGCCATCCAAGAAAACAACCCAGCCAAAACAACCATAAAGCAAGAAATGTTTTTGTGCACCAATTCTTACAGCCTGTAGCTACATTAAAAGTGTCAAATTTTCAAATGCACATTAGGTGAACTCAGTTTTGGCTTCAGGAGCATATCATGAAGCCCACTTAAATGTAGCATCCTGCACAACTGCCAGCAGAGAAGCATGGGGTTATTTTGCTGACTGATGTTTTTCCTTGTTTTAATTTTACCCCAGAGGGAGCTCTGGGTCCTCCCATCTCTGCTTTCTTATGGTCTCCCAGTAATGCTTCTGGAGGCCTTCTCAGGGAGGCTGAGTTGGGGGGGAGCAGGGGTAGCAGTGCTAAGGTCCTCACTTTCCGTATTACTAGGAACCATCATTAGGGCTCTGGTGGGTTGTTAGCACTGAGTTAATGTTCCCTTGCAGAACACAAGTAGATTTCTGAAAGTCTGTTCATGGGTGTTACACACCATAACATACATAACATACCAATGTTTTCTGATTCTGATAGTATATCTAAAGCATATCAATACATGTGAACGCCTTCCAATGTGTTATTCATCTCACTCTCTGTATGGTTTTTATTGACATCTGGTCACAAAATGTACTTCCACTAGTCAATATAACATTCCTGTCCATAAAATATACATGTTCAGGGTTGTATGAGAAGTTCAGCTAGCCCCTGATAGCGCCCCATACTAAATGCTTAGTAAGGAGTATCCAGACAAGCCAAGCACACAGTGATAGTTCCTGAGAAAGACAGTTTCATTTTGTCCTCCAGTTCTTGTGTCTGCTATATTCTGATACAGCTGCTGAAGGAGATACATAATTCATAATGGAGACCTCCAAACATTCAGACAGAGAGCAAGATAATGCCAGTAAAAGCTACTCTTTAAAACACTGATCTAGTGCTCAGTATTATGACATGCTTAGACACACCGCAGTGTTCATCCTCCCTGGTTGGCAGAATTTCAGTAGCAGTTTAATGCAGAATATCACACTAAGTAAGAGAAAACCCCAACAGCCTGCATTTACACATACCTTTAACTGAAGCACTTGAAACCTGAAAGGAGTCTTGGGTTTTGGAAAAAGAACTTCTTGAAAAGGACATGGCCTCACAGTTTCTGTGATCTCTTTTGACAGACTGTGAGCAAACTGTATTTTAAGAATCTCTACATTAAGTTCTAACCACAGCAACTTTCAGTACTATTCCAAATATATTTTCCCTTTCTAGAAGTGAAAAATTTTATTTCTACTACACATGGCAAACAGAAGAGTTCAGACAACATCATTGAGGAACCTTCTGTTGACGGAATCATGGCAATTTTTATAGCCGAGCTTACATTTACAAGCAGGAGTATCACAGGGGTCACAGCCCTGCTTCATGTCATGTGGCAACTGAACAAAGTTGAACACACACAGGGAGACACTGAGGTGGCCAGCTGGCATGGGGGGTAAATGCTGCAAAATCATTTTGCCCACCCACATAGACAGTGCTTTAAAACCAGTAAATAGAAATGCAACAGTAGTTTTATAGAAAGGCCAGACCATAAATAATTAATCCATTGGATAAATACATTTACATCAAACAGAAAGGCAGAAGCCACAAGCCAAACTTTACCTTGTAGAATTTTTTTTTGAGCACGTGCTGTTTCCAAATGTCATTTATACAAAACATACAACTCTGAAATTACCCAAACCTTTTGTTGCTTCATGCCACCAGTTACAGTAGTAGAAACCTTTGTTAGGAGGCATGCTGTATGTTCAATATACAACTATCTTTACACCATGGAAACAACTACAGTTCATGTCACTGTTTCCCTCAAGATGCAACTCATTCTCCAGTATTTCATTTAATGTGGTAAACATGATAATGAGCATTTTAACAAATGTGAAAGTTGCCCGTGTTTCTCACTTTGGTAACCGTATAGCAGATTTATGGGAATTTAGAGCACAATACAGGAAGATACTAGGTACTGTGCTCTACTCTCTTTTATTTCCAAGAATATGGCTATGTAACTGTATCTGTTGGAGAAAGCCATATAATTCTTCTTAATTATTAAATTAAAAAATATATGTATATCTTATTTTTACACTTTAAAATTAAAATATACACTCATCATTTGCATTGGCCTTATTGGAAGGTAGGTTGATAGCTTATAAATATCAGAGCTCAAAGTAAATCACTTAATAAAATATATTCAAAGGGTGTTTTGCCACTTAATTATAAAAATAATGCTCAAGTTTAATATCACCAAGGACAATTCTGGGAGGTCTAATTCTTAAAGTACAGTTAAACCATAAAATAATACTTCCACTTTTAAGAAGAAGATAATTTCAATAATTTGAACTTTATGTTGTGTAAAGATGACTTTTCCCTTTCCTACACAACTTCTATGTTTCTTTGGAGACAGCTACATTTCACTAGGTTGAGATCAAAGGTAAGGAAGGGGCCAAGCAATGATCCTTCTATACTGATCAGCTCAGAGCTGAAACAGGAAAAAAAGTTTAATTAAATTGTTTTCCGTAAGCTAGTGGAAGGTAATCAAAGCCAATATACCATTGTTCTTCTAATCCCTGCCCAAGGAAGTTACATGGTTCACAAATCAAATTACTGGGGCAGCATGAGCCCCTGGTGGAGACAGGGAAAGATGCAAAGTGGAATTAAGGATTCAAATATCAGCACATACCAATAAATCCAATTTGTTCCTTATTCACATGCTTTGATACGATACATTAAAAAAAAAAAAAAATGTGGTTCACTGTATGAACTAATTCCCCTATGCATTTCCACTTTTTTTTTTTTTTATGGCAATTTTCTAACAAGTCATAAAAAATAAAATAAATAAAATAAAATAAAAATAAAAAACACTTTAGCAACAACAATAAAATTAAAAAAAAATAAAATCAAATCAAAATTTAAAAATCAAGTTGTTTGGGAGAGAAAAATTTATTAGCCTAACATAATTATGCAGCATTACAGAAAAAGGTAAACAACTCTTAATGTAGTATAAAACTAGCTTTTATTGGCAGCAAGATAACATCAAAGCTAAGAATTTATTGGCATTCAAGAAAAGACTCTACAGTTATGAGACAGCAAGAATAGTCACCATCATATTGAATGGGAAAAATATATTTTGCTAGAGCTATGAAAGAGAACCGCAAGTTTCAGAACATGATCCAACCTGTACCAAATCAGGGAATGAGGAAAATCCTAAATTTCTTGAGTCATACAAAACACTTTTCACTGTTGACAAAGGAACAGGCAGTATTTGATTCCAGTCCGACTGACACTCCAGACACCACACAGCTGATACAAGGATAGAAAAATGTCTGCATTTTGTGCATGCTTTAGAGACCAGTCTCACTCGCCCTGTGTTGCACTGTGTTTTCTGCAGCTGCTCAGTAAATCCCGTTCATCAGATTTGCTGCATATTGCTTACTCAGAGCCCCCTGGGATTTTAAAATAACGCTGCACAAAGAACTGAAGTTTGACTCTCCTATATCCTAGGTTGAGTCAGGCAGACTGCCAGCTACTTGTAATTTTGATTAGAAAATAACAGAAATAATAAAAGGGGAACCACATACAGTTCTTTTGCATGGCCTTTTGTGTGTGTGTGAGAGAGAAAGAGAGAACAAATGAATTTTCAGGTTCTGTTTGAGGTTTAGACACATCACATCAGTTCTTATTTCATCTTTTCTTAGTTTTAACCTGGTTTCACTAGAATTCCTAAAGCTTTACTTCATACATTTGCTCACTTACACTTTATCTCTTTTAAATCACAGGTATGGTTTCATTCTTGGCAAGCTCCACACAGCTACTGAAGCATGTTAGCAATTAGGGAAGTTCACTGTTTGGCTGCAAGAAATAAGAGTTGCAGATCTCCACATCAGATGAAAATGGATCACTATTGTAGCTGACAGTTGGCTCTCCAGAAACATTTTCCCACTGGGTATTTTGTCACAGCATATTGCTAAGATAGTTTTCTACAGGAGCAGGAGACTGTCATTGATTGCAGTCACCGGTCCTTCATGAAAAATCACCAGTAGCTTCACAGACAGGACCTTTACCTTGACTTTCTCTGTTTCACACCCTTCTTCATCAAGACCTTGGATTTTGTTCACTGCACCCCTGTGACAGGACCCCTCTCCTTCTAATTTTACACCACATGTAAAAAAACAGGGCTTACACCTGCTTTACAGCTAGAGTAAGAGTTTCTTCCTCATTAGCATATATCAGATACAATTAAAGTTTTCAACAATATGGTAAACTAATGTGAATGGGATCCATATGTTTAACATAAAACAGTGTTTTGTTTACATATTTCATTAATTAAGGCACTTTGTGTTTTTCTTAACCTCGTTAGGCTATTTTGATAATCATCATGTATGATACCTATTATTTATTTGTTGTTATATAAAAACTAAATTATCACATGTAATCAAGTTGCAAGTTTTTTGTGCAGGAGATTCACATTACAGGAGAATGAAAAATATTAAAAACCTCTATGTTTTTTCACAGAGGACATAAATTACCTCATAATAATTCTACCTCTATTACCAGTGATTTCAGAATGAATAATGAAAAAAATGAATCCTCCACGAGTGATATGATTTTCAAAAGTAATCTCTTCATGGAAACATGGTAGGTTGAATAACATAAGAAGACCATTAGGAATAGAAAATCTTTAAGAGAAATAATGAAGAGGGGCATTTACAATTTGTATTTCCACATGAGTAGGTATTTCACAAAATAACATTCATTATTATAAGAGCAAATCCAGTTTCCTTCTTCAAATTAAAATATTTGATGTTTAATACAAATATCTGTTTGCTGCTACAGAATCACAGGATGTCTGAGATTGGAAGGGACCTCTAAAGATTATCTAGTCCAACCTCCCTACCTAGCAGGATCACCTGGAGCATGTTGCTCAGAATGGCATCCAGGTGGGTTTTGAATATCTCCAGAGAAGGAGATTCCACAACCTCCCTGGGTAATCGGTTCCTGTGCTCTGTCACCCTCACAGTAAAGAAATGTCCTCTTATATTCAGACAGAATTTCCTATGCTTCAGTTTGTGCCCATTGCCTCTTGTCCTGTCACTGGGCACAACTGAGAAGAGACTGGTTTCATTGTTTTGACACCTTCCCTTCAGATATTTATATACGCCAATGAGGTCTCCCCTCAGTCTTCTTTTTTCCAGGCAAAACAGACCCAGTCCTCTCAGCCTGTCCACATATGACAAGTTCTGCAGTCCCCTAATCACCTTAGAAGCATCTTGTTATCTTTTTTTTTTTTTGGGTGCTGATGGTGAAATGCAACTTAAATTATACATCTCAAGTAAAGGCTCTTACAGCACACATGGTTAAAGACGTATTTGTTGGTAATATTTTCCTATTTTAGTAGTTAAAATACAGCTTTATACCTGGGCTGCCTTGTACTTCTAGTCATATAAAGTTATTTCAAGTTCAACACTTCCATCCTTTTAATATTCATCATGGAGAAAACAAACAGGTCACAAAAGTGATTTCTCCTGTACAATGAAATTTCATGTAGACTTGAAATAAGCTCTGAGCTCATAGGGCTGTGACCTCACTCAGGAAGTTCAGAATTTCTAGCATGAGGTCTACAAGCTCCTCCATCTCAAGACCAACCCCAGAAACAGCCACACCCATATAGACCAAAAGAAATGGCTACCATTATGTAAAAATGCTTCATAGCTAAATGCTTATTAGTAATACCTAGTAAGATTGTTATGTGTGAACATATTGGCATTTTATTCCTACGGAGTTTCTTTTTCTTTTTCCCCATTAAAAAGGAGACACCTTCAAACAGATGATGTTTTACCACCAGGAATGAATATCAGTCCTGGATTTAGGATACCCTCAGCTCTTTTTACCAGTTTGAATCTGCCTTGATACCATTTAAAACAACTTCTCTTTCAGTTCCTCTCTCTGTAAGCTGGAAATAGTAGCTCCATACGTCAAAAAAAGAGATAAATGTTTTAATATTCTCCAGGTACGTAGCTGGTACGTGGACAAATGTTCTAAAAGAGACCAAAAGTAAATGTGCAATTCCACACTTAATTCAAGCCTTAAAGATGTGAAAGAGCTCTGTGATGAATAATGAAAAGCAAGAAGAAGTAGTAGGAAACTGCCTAGAGTATGTGTGAACATGTATTTAAAAACTGTACCTTAATGCAAAAGGCAGATGAATTAGAACTGCAAATCCACTTACTGTTAGTACTCCTAACATCAGAGAACCTTGTAGATTAATGTTCTTTTAATGTATTTCCAAGTAATGATGTACAAGCCTATATATGTATAAAAGCACTGAATGAACAATAGATAAGTCTCTGATTCAGGAACTGTATAGCAACCATAGGGAATAAAAACTAGATAAGAAATGTCTTGTACTGGAAACTAGTTTCAAAATAATCATCAGTTATTAATAAGACTAATGAAAAGGAGAGATTTTGCTTTCTAAGTTAAAATTGAAATGTTCTTTATGAAAAGCAAACAACAACAACGAAAAAGACACCACCCGACTATTGTCACAATCAGGCTGAAAAGCATTTTTTTTTTTTTTTAAGTTTTACAGTAAATTCCTATACCATTGCCTTCAGTGTTCAGAGAAAAACTTCACAGGTGCCTGAATATTTTTGTAGATCACAGTCCTTTAGGTTGGGAGAGTGCCTTGGTTCACATCTCTACAGCTGGTGAAATTTTCTCAGCATTGACACAGACACACATGATGCCACATCTTCACATGTGCAGACAGCTGATTACATCTCCTGCACCTGGGGAGACAGTGGCATGTGTGGGCACTGCACGTTAGCAGTGCCAGGCAGGGCTCCCCAGAACCAGCAGCATGCATGCAGGTGGCATGCACCACCAGCAGCCTGGGATATCTGTGATATCTTGTAACAAAAAAAAAAAAAATAAAAAAAAATAGAGCATGCTATGGGCTAGGTAGATACTCACTCTTTTCTTTCAAAGGCCTGCTCAAAAGCTACCTGCTCTGCTCCATCTGTCTCATCACAGATACCAGATTTTTCTACATAACAGGATGTGCATTAGAATGATGCTTCAGCTGCTGTTAATTCAGCTCAGTTAATTCAAAGCCCCAACAAAGGAAAGGAACAAAGGGTAAAACAAATAAAAATAATGAACCAGTTGCTCAGTTGGTGTAATTGCACTAGCTTCAATAGAACTACACTAATTTTCAGCAGCTGCAGTTTTGGTTCTTTTTTCTTTTTATTTACTTTACCTCCTGTTCTTAATTTTCTACCCTTCCATTTGTTTGCTATTTTCATTCATTTGGAGTGTAAATCCCTTGAGGAATGACCCTCTCCTCTCCTCTGCTCTCCTCTGCTCTCCTCTTTCCTTCTTTTCCTTTCCTTTCCTCTCTTCAAAATCATGCAAGATTAGGTTAGTTCCATTATATGATAGGTAGGACAGACATGGTAGGTATAGGGACAGTATAGAACTGGAAACACAAAACAAAGCAAAACAACAACAAAATCTAAATCTGGCTCCATGTATGATTTTCTACCTTCACCAGCCAACTATCTGAGTAAGATCAGGGTGGATGATCATTATGGCAAATGCTGCTATAAGACTCTGTTGCCTTACCTACTCCTAGCGACAGGACATACTTAAAAAATACCAGTTTAATGTACTCTTCCATTTCAGAGCTGTTTTCTACCTGTCAAAAGAAGGAGCTTTGAGAGAATTGCTAGTTTTGTTTGTTTGTTTGTTTGTTTTTTGGTTGGTTGGCTGGCTATTTTTTTGTTTATTTGTTTGTTTGTTTTTTTAGCTAGTGTACATTCTTTGGTGATCTTTTCTTCTTGTATTTGTTTTCCTGGCAACCTGGCAAACCAACAAGGTCTAAATCAGCCAATCATAATTTACTGAAAACTTTTCATAGAGAAGACCCTAATTCAAGTTCTCAAGTTTAAATCTGTTGAATGGCAAAACAATCAAAACGGTAAAGATTAAAGCCACAAACAGATAAGGAGATGAACTGAAATACAGTATAGCACCTTCACTTCTGTAACAGTTCCCCAGAGTCCTCACTACTTGTTTGCAGGCAAGAAATATATTACTAATGATTTATTATGATCATCCTGTGACAGAGCTCATAAAAATTGTTAATAAATCAATCTACATGCTTGTATGCTTGAAAGTTCTTTCTGAATAGCTTAGGTGATGTGACAAAAATATTTAGCATTCTCATTTTTCTCAGGAATTGTATTACTTTAGATATCACAGAGCTAGGTATCAGTAAGTACTCTATAACTATCACTGCAAATTACTGGCTTATTTAATATGCTTCAATGTTGAATTTTTTTTTAGCATTTTTTTGAAGAAAAAAAAAAAAACACAACAATCTATAAAGGAGTAACAATTCAGTCAGTTCTTTCAGTACAAATTGCACAAAATGTTTACTACTAGGCTTCAAAGAACATAAAGCCTGCAATGTTGTAATGAAAATATAATTACATCTTTCCTGTTCCCAAAGGGTGAAAAAGCTTTTCTAATACAAAATGTGCCTGTAGCTGACCTGCCAGTCTATGTGCAGCAAGGGGCAATTCAGCAGACAGTCTTATTCACAGTGGTACAAAGTTTCATTTTTAGGTCTTGGCTAAAAATTTAATTGTCTTTTTGCAGATAAAACATAGAGTACAAAGACTGTTCTTGCTTTTTACCTTCACTCTCTCTGGCAATTTTCAATTATATCCTCAGACATATTTATCAGGAACTGATACAGAAATCTGCCAGCATATGACACGAAGCAGTGCTTTACTTTCTACATACCTCCCATCTTCTCTGTTCTCAGGGTGCTTCCACAAGTGAAGTAAAAATTTCAGGTTAGAATCTGTTAAAATATTTCAAAATATGAGTTGCTACCTTGGAGTTGTATTATGTGTTCAAAAACATAATAGATTATATATTCATCTTCTAACAATGGATAAGGATGATGTCCTGAACTACAATTCAGGATTAAAGTAATTATATTTAATGGTTTCTGCAGCAGAAGTTGCAATCTTCCTCTATAAACCCAATTTATTATCGGTATTCAGTGGTATTCAGTTCTATTAATGAAATGTTAAATACAAATAACTAAGCATTCCTACATTTCAGAGCTAAAGCTAGACTTATTAGGCAAACCTGCTCATAACTTTTCAAAGAAATATAAATTCAGTTAAGTGAAAATACCAACATGTCCCTGTACAAAAAATGAAAATAAAAAAATGAAAAAATGCAGATTTAAATGAACTCTAAATCACTGTATCACCCATATTCAAAGATTTTGGCAAACCATTTTCATATAAATATGCCATATACATTTTCCCACTAGGTTTCTGTTTCCTTACATAGAAATGTCACTGTGAGATATAATTTACTGAATATCATCCAGCTAATTTATACTGATGTGGCACTGTAGGAGGAAGAAAGTGTAAAAACTGTTTTGTGGAAGAACGACTGAATGACAAGGAATCTGGTGCAACAGTGTTTTATAAGAGGAATCATATGTCAGAAAATAGGTTATTTGAACAGTAGGTGTGAATTAGATTTTTGACAGAAGAGTATTACTGTTATTTTCACTTGCATCTGTTTTTTCTTAGAATTTGCATTACAATTTGTGGATGACATAAGAAGCATGAAATAATGCAAATAATATTATAATATATAATAATATAATAATGCAAATAAATAATTTACCACATCTCATACTGATCAAAAATCACAGAATTCCTCCTGAAATTAAACTGGCACTCATGTAAGGATTTAATAAGGATAGCAGCTCAGAGACCAAGCTGAAGATGGAAGTTAAAATGGAAGTTGTAAAATTTGGTTTGGGACTATTACAGAGCCAGTAGTTAACAAGTTTACTCCAGCAGTAAATCAGAAGTCTAACAGCAAAGGGACTCACATGCTTAGTGTTGTCTTTAGTATTGTTCTTGGATTTCAAGAGCTTTCATCTGAAAGTCATAAGGATAGATGAATTTGTTCAAACAAAACCTCCAGGGATTCATTTTTTTTACTATCAGACGGGAGTTTGATTATTTCTTCAGTACAGACCTTATCCAGTTTATGACTCCTCTGAAATTCTTTTGTATACACACATTTATATTTATACATGTATATATATATATACACATATATATATAGTGTGAGAACTCTTTCCATGAGACTAGATATAAACCTCTTTTACCAATAATTCATTAAAATTTATAATAGCTTTACACAATAAATATGTGTATTAAAATGTTCCTAAAAATATCTGAGTTTATTACTGACATAAAAATGACTATCAGTTTTCAAAATTTATTTCTCTTATCTCAGTTATTTTGTGTTGGAGAGTTTTGCATGCATTTGTAATGATAGCAGTCATGAAAGTCTTAAAATCCCTGGTGAGGCAGACTTTTCCTTGGATGAAGCCCACCTAAATGAAATCTGGTGAATCAGGAGACAGGAAACCTAGGAGTTAATGGCTTTATTAGCTTTGATTTTTTTTTTTCTTCTGCTTGACTTCTGCTTTTATACTAAACCTTTCAAAAACTGTATTGTTCTGATTGTCATTAAAAGCTCAGCCATTAAGTACATCTTGGAACAACTTATGCAAGGCCTCTAAATAAGGTTGATTGTATGGAAAATACATTTTTTATTACATTTCATATTTATTTTTAGTTTTTCATCAGTCATAACACAAGTCATAAAGAAAACTAAAAAGCCTATAAACCCCACATATATGCAATGTTTTCTCTTCTTTTCAAATTAACAACTTGGATTTTACATCAATAATAAAATGGACTTTACTAAGCAATGTTTATAGATGACTCTTCAGCTTAAGCACATGTTATGAGGTGTTTTTTCCATTTTTAGTTGTAAAAATAAATTTTAATAATAATAAAAATATGAATAAATTTTAATATTCCAATATCAGTATCGTTAATTTAAAAACCACACTAATTTAACTAGAGGCTACAGAGTTTATTGGTAAGTTATTAATCCATCAGCAGAAGCATTTTTCCTATGATACACTTACTTTTTAATGTTTCTAAGATTTGTGAAGCAAAAAACAAGAACTTAAATATAATTTGCTCTAGATAATGTATTATAATATAAATTCTATCACACATACAAAACACTACACTTATAGATCACAATGTGTATTTTGCAATTATTAATTATTCCTGTTATTATTAATTATGTCCTGCTGTCAGGTAAGAACTAAACTTATAAATTAATGCAAAATAAGAACTCATCCCATTGGCTCAATCTAATTACACAATTAGCATTCATTTATAGACTCTTCCAATAATACTGTCACTTCATTTACAGACTTACTATTTTGAGGGGAAATAAAGGTCCCAAATTGTTTCAGGCTTATATAAAGTACAAATTGCAATTCCAGGTGTAGTGATAATGCAATGACTGATAATGCAGTGAAGTTATGTGGTGGGAAAAAAAAAAAAAAAAGTGTTCATTATAACTACGCCATGTATTTTCATTAGCCTTTCTAATACAGCTGAGTTATTGATATTTCTATGCACCTTTATCAGGCAAGGCAGGAGTCTCTGGATATTGAAGTTTTCTAACATTTTAGGGAAGAAACTTAATTATACTCTTGTACTGATGTAATTGTGAAAACCCAGAGTGCACCTTTACAGCCAATCTACTATGAATCTATGTCTAAAGTGCCTCCAGTGCAAAATTAAACAATTATTCTGTAAAGTAAATGTTATGTTATTGTAGTACATACTATATTCCTTGTCCTGATAACAGCTTAAAATAGATTACTCACGAAGAGATAGGTGTTTTTTTTGTTGTTGTTGTTTGTTTGTTTTTATGTATAAATTCTTACTTGTCAATGACAATGAGTAAAATAAAGATGAAAATCTTAAAACATTTAGGTCCCCTATTGGCCTTTCCTAAATGTAGAGTCCTTTTCCATTTGTGTACCCACCTGGTACTGAATGAATTTGGCCCATTTTAGGGGTATGAGTACATTATAAATATATATAAGTAACAGTTTGCCTTTAAATGTCTTTTGTCCAGATTACATTTCTTGCAGTAAGAAGGAATACCTGCAAATCATCACTATGCAACAACTATGGGCATTTCAATCCCATTTAGCAT